TCAAGAAAAGCAGAAACACGAAAAGGTGGGGGGTGGGGAGGTGGAGGAGACGTGGGGGGAGGGAGCGCGATGAAATACATCTTTCCAACATTAAGTCACGGAAACAGAAACTTAACTTTAAAAATCACTCCCTCCTTGGCTCAAATAACATTGGTTTAAATAACCTAGATTATGAAAGGTTTCTGACAAAACTTTTCTAATCACCCGTGGAACGTGCTCCTTGAATAATTATGGCCCAGAACTCCCTCAGGTCAGGAATTTCCCGCTGATGTGCAGGTTAAAACAAAACAAAAAAAAACCCACTGGTGGTGCTGGTGGGAGGTGGTGGGGGTGGGGTGGGGGAGTTGGCCCGGATGGGTATTTCTTTCCTCACTCGCAGCCCAGACTCGACCGACCCACGCGCAGGCATCAGGGAGCGCAGAGGGCAGGGGGGCCCTCTCACGCCCCGGCCCCCAAAGCGAGCTCCCGCTCGGGCCCGCCCCGACCCGCCGCCGCGCCGCCCTCCGACAGGTGCAGCGCCGCCCCGCGCCGCCCGCGCCCCCGCGCCCCGCGGGGCCGGCCGCGCCCTCGCCGCGCCGCGCCCGCCCCGCCGCCCGGGCGCGCGCGCGCGCTCCCCCTCCCGGCGGGGCCGCGCACGCAGCCGCCGCCGCCCGCCTCCCTCCGCCCCTCCCTCGCGGCCGGCCCTCCTCCCTCCCCTCCCCTCCGCCCCCTTCCCCGTAGGCAGCTCGCCCGCCGCCCGCCGCCCGCACAGCCGCCCGCCGGCCCCTGGCGCTCGCGCGGGGTCTCGCCCCCTCCTCCCCCGGCGCCCCCGGAGGCTCCCGCGGCGCTCGGAGGCCCGCGCGCTCGGTGGATGTGGCTGGCCGCCGCCGCCCCCTCCCTCGCTCGCCGCCTGCTCGCCCTCGGCCCTCCGCCTCCTCCCCTCCTCCTTCTCCTCCTCAGCCTCTCCGCTCGCCGCCGCCGCCGCCTGCACAGCCTGGGCCGCGCCGAGATGCCGGAGAAGAGGCCCTTCGAGCGGCTGCCCGCCGACGTGTCCCCCATCAACTACAGCCTCTGCCTCAAGCCCGACCTGCTGGACTTCACCTTCGAGGGCAAGCTGGAGGCCGCCGCCCAGGTACGGCCACCCGGGGCGCCGGGGGCAGGCTGCGGGGGCCCGCGGTTAGGCCGCGCCCGCGGGCAGGGCGGGCGGAGGGCCCCGGGCTGCGGGGTGCGGGGCGGGGAGGCCGGCTCGCGGGGCGCGGCGTGCGCCCCTGGGCGGGCGGGGGAGGGGCGCCGGCGCGGAGTGCGGGGCTGCGGGGCGGGGCGGGGGCCCCCCGCACCCCCCGCTCCGCTCGGCGGGAGCCGGCGGACCCGGGCCGGCCGCCGCGCACACCTGTGTCGGGGGGCTGCGCCCCGCTCCCCGGCCCCTTCCGGGCGGAGTGCGAGACGCGGGGGGTGGGGAGCCAGCGGGGGGGCGGTCACGGGAGTCCACGCTCGCTCTGCACCTCGGGACTCGCCTCTTCGCTCGGCTTCTGGCTCTCGGGCCGCAGAGGACACTTGGGATGGGGTGGGTCATCGGGGACTCCGGGCGCCGCGCTCCCGCGAGGAGGGGCGCGTGTGCGGGGGGCGGGGGCAGAGGGGCCGACGGGGAATGTTAATCCCGGGCCGCCTCGCCGAGTTCTCCCCGCCTGCTCCGGCCCAGGGGCTGGGTTTCCGCGGCGGTCCGCCCCCTCCCCCTTCCCTTTCCCCTCGAGTGACTGTGCCGCGGTGACTTTGTTCTCTCCTAACCTCTAGAGGAGCTGAAGGAGGACCCCCCCGCCCCCCTCCCCCGTCCCCGCGTCTCCTCCTTTGCAGCTTTGCAGCCTTTGAAGCAGGTGGATTTATTGCTACAGCGATGGTTGCTTAGCACTGCCCTCCTCTGAAAGAAGCTGTTGGTTTTAGCATGCCACTGGTGAAAATATTCCATTGCTCTTCAGGGCGGTTTTTGGCGAATCATGCCGCTCCCCCTCCCCCTCCCAGCGTTATTCGAAGTATTATTTGATTTGGGGGACCCTCCGTGAGAGAGCCCCGGCCAAGATCCCGAACAATAGACATTTACCGATACTCTTCAATGTCATGCATTCGATGAAGTCCGCGATGAAAATTGAGAAGTGTTTAGTTGTTTCAAAAGAATGCTGGTCGATATATTTCTCATTTCTCTTCTGGCCGCGGTGGGGGCAGGGATCGACCCAGGGGCACTCAGTCAGGCCTCGATATTTAAAAAAACCCGGGGTGTAGGTTGTAAGGAAGCTTGTGATGAAAGAAATGTGGACTCTTTGAGTGAATTAGAAGTTGGAAGTCGACTTCGAAAGCCAGGAATACATGGAGTGCGAATATGTACGAAAAGTGTAGAATTTAAAAGTGTGCGTTGGATGAGGGGTGCTTGTACCAGAAAGCATGGGAACCGTGGGTCAGGCAGCATCCAAAAGCAGAACTTCTCTCGCATCAGAGCGAGTGCATCCTGGGTTTAACTTAGAATTTGAGAGGGTAATTTGGGAGGCTGTGTGTAAGCCAAGTGACTGAGTGTTTGATATATATTGGCAGGGGCAGATGGGAGGGATTGTAAACAGTAGAGTGTCTTGTGACTTGGCAAACCTCCGGGAAGAAGCAGCTAGCAATGAATGAGTTCGCATTATATGAGAAGACTTTTAAAAAATCTTTTGTTTCTGTACCCCATTAGTTGCCATAATGGGTTCATCATTTTGAGAGGTGTGATTACTTGGGGGAAGTTTTCCAGAAGAAAATTGTTATAAGGGTTTTTAGATGATTATTAAGAAGTGACAGTTACACTTAAGTGTGAGGCTAGAACAACAGGCAGTGACATGCTTCTCTACTTTTCTCAAGAGAACTTTGTGAAAGAAAGAGAGAGAGAACTTTGTGGAACACTGTTTTGGCCATTCAGGGAGTACATGGTAATGTACTAGATATATACAGGGACTTGTTAATTCGATACAAGGAAATAATCTTCTACAGTACAGTAACATGAACTGTTCAAAGCATTTCGTTCTAGGCTAGCTGGCAGCATTCATGGCCAGTGGCCTGATGCTGAAATTTGGGGGGTGGATTGGGCCATACCCAGTGGTGGTCAGGTCATTCCTGATGGTGTTTGGGGGACCGTATATGGTGCTGGGGATCTAACCCAGTCAGCCTTACACAAGGCACGCTCGTTAAACTGCGCTATCTCTCTGGTTCCATGATAGTGATTTGTAACGCATTTTGAAAGAGGTTTAATTGTGGCCAGTCTTCTTGTGAAAACCTAAAGATGTGGGCTAATCTTATCTCTAGAAATCTAGATTTATAGCTTCTTTTGGGTCAGATTCCTAAGAGTTGGAATCACATTACAAAGTATGCAAGTTGCTTGGTTGCTTTAGTTGCAAAATTTTATGATAAGCCCAGAGTATTTGTACAGGTTACATATTAGAAACTTAGTGGATTTTTAACCACTCTGGGTGTGGGCTCCTCGAGAAGGTGATGAAATTAGTCGGACTGCACTGATTCAAAAAGTACTTGTCTTTACATAAGTGAATGTGTTCTGATTTGGCAGGTTTAAAAAGTGTTCTATCATGTGCCAAGAGAAATGGGGACATTCCCTTTCTTTTCTCACCTTACATTAGGATATTTGAGAGTGAATGACTTTTGGTGCTATTTCAGATTCCAGTGCACTTGCTTTATGGATATTTAAAAAATAGATGGCAAGTCTGTATGAATGACTAATTCCTTATTCTGAGTGTACACTGGTTTATAAGGTGATTGGACTTTCTCTTATGGAAGTATTCTTATCTGTGCCAAAGAAATTAACTTCATCCTTCAAGGTCAGAAGTCAGGTTATCCTAGACAATCCCTGGCCTTCACCAACAATATACTCAAATTGGTGATGACTAAATTGGCACTAAGAAGAGAGTTACAGATAGAGTAGTTTGGCAGGCTCAAAACTTGGCACCTGGGTGGATATTACTGTCAAAACCCGTGTTCGGAATTTTCTGCTGAAATTTTGCATATTTTCTGTCTAGTCATCTGGTGGTTTCTAAAATACTCTAAAGATGATGAAATTAATAACTTCCTAGTGTTGTGCTAGATCATTACATGGTTTTTGGAAATTAAGTGGGAAAGATGTATGATAAGGAATAGAGTTGGTTTAGGTTTTCTGTTATTTCATAAGACATATTAACTAGGAAATGCCTAAGTATAAAAATTTTCATATATGAAACCTGACCTAATAAAAATGCAGTAACAGTTCCAGGTAAATGAAATTTGTGCTTTGAGGCATTTACACTTTATTCTTTTCCTTTTTTGTTGTTTTTGAGCACACTCAGCAGTGCTCAGTGCTAACTTCTGGCTCTAGGCTTAAGGGTCACTTCCTGGCAGGGCTTGGGGGACCATATGGATGCTGGGGATCAAACCCAGGTTAGCCAGGTGCAAGGCAAGTGCTGTCTCTCTGGCCCTGACACTTAACTTTTTAAACAGGCTTACTCTGCTTGGGATAGAAATACTCTTAAAACGCATTTTTAAAAAAAATTTGAATTCCTTTTAATATATTTTTTTTCTCTTCCCCCCATTTAAAAGATTACTAAAAAAATTTTGGAGGGCCTCCTCAGTGGTGCTAGGGGCCAGCAGGCCACACCCAGCCCCAGCCTGCTGTGCTGGGCCCCGGGCAAGCTGAGGCCCCGCACATACCAGGCTGCTCTCCAGCCCTTGAGCTGTCTCCAGGCCCTTTCTACAAATACTGGCCATTATTCTGAATACCTATCATTGGTATTTATAACCCTAGATTACCCAAAACTGTATGTTGTACTTTAGTACTTTCATGTTTGTTCTTTAAAGTTTTTGTTTGTTTTCCTTACTTTCAGATTATTACTTCTTGCTTCCCACTGTGTCTTGTTGCTGCTTATTGTGCAATTTCTTCCCTGTTCAGTTTTATTGAACTTGATCTGAAGAGGTCTTGGTGATGAGATATACACAACTTGTTTGAGGGTTTTTTTTTTTTTCTTGATAGGCCAGGAGGGAAATGAATAGAGAAATATCTTCTACCCAATCTTCTCTCCTAGCCTGTGTCCTTAATGCCCCAAAGTTTAATTACCAGAACAGGGAAGCAGCCCAGAACTAGGCTCAACACTTTGGTTGTTTGAGTTTATTTTTACTTATTTTGATATTTAAAATTTTATTTTAGGCATCATGATTTACAATACTGTTAATGGTATGATCTCTTGCGTAAAGCATTCCAGCACTATGCCACTCCACCAGAGTCTACTGTCCTTCACCATTATCCTGGTATTTATTTATTTTTATTTTTTGGCTCACACCTGGTGCTGCCTAAGGCTTTTCTTGGCTTGGTGCTTAGGGGTTGCTCCCAGAGGTGCTTATGGGACCATGAAGCATGGGGGAATCATCTCAAGCCTCCTACAATATGAAGCGTGTGTTCAGCCTGTTGAGCTATCTCTTTGGAACTTGGGGGGGAGGGGAGAGAGAGAGGGTGGGGAGAGAGAGAGGGAGGAGAGAGAGAGAGAGAGAGAGAGAGAGAGAGAGAGAGAGAGAGAGAACTTCCTACCTTGTGGTGTTTAGGCCTAGTCTTAGGCCTGCCAGTGATGCTCAGTGGATCATGCTATCCCAAAGCTTGTGCTTCAGTCCTTTGAGCTGTCTCTCTCTGTCCTTCCCCGGCCCCAGCCCCTCAACATTTCTAAGTTGGGATTTGATGGATTCTCATGACCTATACCTGATGTTGTTCAGGGCTTACTCCTGACTCTATAGTCAAAATTATTTCTGGCAGGGCTTGGAGGACTATATGGGGTGCCAGGAATCAAACCCAGGTCAGCCATGTGACAGGCAGATGCCCTACCCACTGTACTATCTCTTCAGCTCCTTTGATGGATTCTCTTTTTCATGAAGGGTTTGAGCTTTAGTGTATGGACTTTGTGTCATCTATTCTGGCTTTTTGTATTTTTTTTTTTTTGGTAACTTCCTGGTTCTGCATAATTAATATTGTCTAATACAATCTGGATAAATGTGGTCTCAAGTAGTAAATTATCTATGAAAGTTCTCTGAACTTTGCTACATAAATGAGCTTGTTCTTATTGTAAAGTAAATCTTACTCTAATCTGTGAGTCAGTGCAAAGGACTGAGTCTTCTGATAGTTGTTTTGTTCTCTAGATCTTAGGGATGCCATTTTCTTTCTTTCTTTTTTTTTTGGGGGGGGGTCGGGAAATGCCGTTTTCAATACCATGCAAATATACTTGGCCATTTTAATAACTTTAAAATGGCATTTTAATGGGGCTGGAGCAATAGCACAGCGGGTAGGGCGTTTGCCTTGCAGCGGCCAACCCGGGTTCAATTCCCAGCATCCCATATGGTCCCCTGAGCACTGCCAGGGGTGATTCCTGAGCACAGAGCCAGGAGTAACCCCTGTGCATTGCCAGGTGTGACCCAAAAAGCAAAATAAATAAATAAATAAAAGAAAAGAAACAATTCATTTAAAAAATAAAAATAAAATGTCGTTTTAAATTAGATTTTAAATTCCATATTATAGAAATATGGAAAAGTAACCCACCATTCAAATTTAGCAGATAGTAATATCTGCTCCATTTGCCACAGACTGCCAGTGCTCAGGGCTACTGGCTCTGTACTCAGGGGACCTTATTTGGTTCAGTGGATCAAACTTGGGTCAGGTACATGCAAGGCAAGGGCCCTAATTGCCATGCAGTCTCTTCCAGCCACCAGCATAATTTATTTTCATGAAATAAAAGGTCTTGGATATTGCCAAAGTCTATTTCCATTTCTTCCCACCTCCATACCCTAGAAGTTACTCAAAGGTAGTCTGGTTGATGAGTGCTATTCTTATAGTTTTTAAAGTTTTACTGCATGTTTAAGTGATTTCTGGGCAGTCAGTGTTCAGGCTTAGTCCTGGCTCTGTGCCCAGGGATCAATCCTGGCAGTGTTCAGGGACCATATGGGGTGCTGGGGCTCAAACCTGGGTAGGGTATATTCAAGGCAAGTACCTTAACCTTTTTTCAATACCATGCACATATACTTGGCCACTTTAAATAACCTTAAAGTCTTATTTTAATTAGGAAATATTATAGAAATATGGAAAAATAACCCACCATTCAAATTTAGCAGATAGTAATATCTGCTGCATTTGCCACAACCTGCTAGTGCTGTATCTCTCTGGTCCCCCATCAGACCTTTAATGATACTTAATGTTTGACTTTCTATAATTTGCCCTTTTCAGTGTCTCTTTTGTTAGAAAACTTGGCTCGTTTTATATTTACTAATTATTGTTCCTTATTGTCTTTAGAAATTATAGCCCTTTCCACAAAGTCAACAATTATTACAAAATTTAAACGATGGACTTGCTTGTTAGGCAAAGTGACTCAGGCCTCAAAGATCGACTGGAATTTGCAATTGTCACACTGGAGATTTCCTTTCAGTAAAATCTCAGAACTTTGGCAATCAAAAAAAAAATCCTTTCAAGCCTCACTGTAATACATTTAAGGTGTATTTTCTGAATGACTCTACTAAGGACTCACTGAAGGGGAAAAAAAAGGACTCAGACAGCTGCCTTCCTAGTTCATAGGAAACTTCCATTCTAAAATTACTGATTGCCTGCCTGCCTGCCTCTTCAGTTGAGCTGTTCCTGAGAGTTTGACTTGATTCTGTTAGAACTCCCAGAAAGAAGCCTTAACCCTGGGTTTGAAACAAATAAAGGATACACTAACATTCCGTTCTCTAATGGCATCAAATGGAAAAGTTGAAAATGAACTTATTGTCAGCACAATTTATATGCCAACTTTAACGTTTTGCTTCTATTTTAAGCTTGGAAACTGAAATTTTATTTTGTTTTCTCTGGCCACACCCGGAAGTGCTTAGGGAACTACTCCCGGTGTGGTGCTCAGGACTGTGTGGTTCTGGGGACCAAATCCCGGCCTCTGGCATGTAAAGCATGTGCACTAGCCCATTGAGTTATTTCCTAGGTCATAGATGATCTTGATGCTGACATTTCTTTCAGTTGTTGCCTGTATAAATACATCTCTAGCATACTATGTCTGTCTGTGTTTTGGGGGCCATGTCCAGCAGTTGTCAGGGGCTACTTCCTGGTGCTTGAGGGCCCTTCCTGGCAGTGCTTAGGGGACCATGTAGTGCTGGGGATTGACTCCAGGCCTCCTTGGTGTAAAGCATGTACTCTTGCCGGCTGTGTTCTCATCTCTGGTCTTTTATTTATTTCATTTTGGTTTTGTGGTCATAGCTGGCTGTGTCCAGGGCTTACGCCTGACTGTGCTCAGGGATCACTCCCAGTGGCATGGGGGTGTGGGGTTATATGTGGTATTGGGATTGAACCTGGACTGGCTGAGTGCAAGGCAAGTGCTTAAATTACTTAACCTCTTGGCTCCTGGTTACCTGTATTTTGTTTTGTTTTGGGGTCGTACTTGGCAGTGCTCAAGGCTTACTACTAGCTGTGTATTGGGGGGTCACTCCTGGTGGACTTGGGAGGACCATATAGGGTTCCAGGGATTGAACCTGGGGCTGTTGTGTGCAAAACAGGTGCCTTACCCGCTATACTCTCTGGTCCTGTAGTTACCTTTATTTTTGATGGTAAAATAGAGGTAGTATTTAAATAACATGATGGTGTTAATATGTGAGAAATGACATGACTGAAACATCAGCTCAGTACTATTGTTGGGTGCATGGTTTGCATGCTACAACTCTGGGTTTGATCCCCAATACCTCTTGGTCCACAAGTGTTGCTGAGTGTGGACCTGTACCCTCCACCTCTTTCCTCCCCCTTTCCCCCCGAAAAAAAGCAGTGTAATATTGTAGGGACACACATATATTGTAGGGATCATGTGGATATTTTAGTTTTAGCCTTTTTAATTGTTAAATTTTGCACTGGATGCTCCTAGGGTGGCCCCTGATACTGCTCAGTGTGTGCCACGTGGTGCTGGGAATCGAACTGGGGCCTCCACCCCATTGTGCTCTTTGGCTCTTATGGTGTTTTATTTATTTTATTTTGATAAAGTTGTTCAGAATTATTTATTACATTCAATATTCCAACCAACACACCACCCTTATACTTTCCCACCACCTCTTATGGTAATTTTTTTTTTTCCCTTTTTGGATCACACCTGACGGTGCACAGGGGTTACTCCTGGCTTTGCACTCAGGAATTACTCCTGGCGGTGCTTGGTGGACTATATGGGATGCTGGGAATCGAACTGGGTCGGCCGCATGCAAGGCAAACACCCTACCCACTGTACTATTGCTCCAGCCCCTTTTTATGGTATTTTTATTTGTTTTGTTTTATTTTTTAAAAATTTTTATTAGTGAGACACCATGAGATACAGTTGTACACTTACAAATTTTGTGCTTGGGTTTCAATTATACAATGATCAAATACCCATCCTTCCACCAGTGCCCATTTCCCACCACCACAGATCCCAGTATCCCTCCCATCCCCCATCCCCCCCATCCCACCCTGCCTCTGTGGCAGGGCATTCCCCTCTGTTCTGTCTCTCCTTTCGGGTGTTGTGGTTTGCAAAAGAGGCATTGAGTGGCAATCATGTTTGGTCTGTAGTCTACTTTCAGCATGCTTCTCCCATCCTGGGAGGATCCTTCCAACATCTTATGGTATTTTAAATTGCCTTCCCTGGGTAGCATATGTGTGCTAATATCCAAAAATCCCCAGCAATGCTCAGGGCCTCTTCCTGGTCTGTGCTTGGTAGTTGCTCCTGTGGTACTTGGAGGAATAAAGCATTTTGGGGATGGAACTAGACCTCCTGCATGAAACGCATGCACTTGGCCCATGGAGTTCTCACACCTGCTCAATTTTATGCCATCGGATAGATACTTGATAAATGGTTAGGGTAAAAGCAGCATAGTATCTTTATGATTAGAGCATGTTTTAGCTTGTTCTCCATTGCATATGTCTTAATACTAGCAGCATCTTTAAGTGATAAACATTTTTTTGGTGGCTTATCCTACTATTTATTTATTTTTGGTTTTGGGGGCCAAACTTATCAATGCTCAGGGGTTACTCCTGGCTCTCTGCTCAGGAATCACTCCTGACAGTGCTTGGGGCGGCTGTGTGGAGTACTGGGGATTGAACCTGGTCAGCCACGTGCAAGACAAGCGA